GAGTTTGCTCTACTGTTACGTTTTATTTTTATTTTTCATAGCCCGTGTGCCTCGTACTCTTAACATGCGCATCAGTTATAACACTATAATATTATACGAAATGAGTCAATATACTATAATTTATAATAAATTTTATATTATCTAATACCATTATTCATTATGGTATATACTATAGGTATGTAGGTAATATAATTTGATGCCGCTAAATATAGTATTTAGATATTAGCAGTTCCCGGGGCATCATCGAAAAAAAAAATATATATATATATATCTAGGTATACGTTTACCTGTCCAGTTCACCGGAGTGGTTTTACCTATTGATTTTGGTTCACGACACTTAATATAAAGCCGAAGGCCCTGGCAAGTTAAATGGCTGCGACACCATTATTATAATAATAAATGTGTGATAGTGCATCGGATATATTCTTACTATGTATGTATGTATGTATGTATGTATGTATGTATGTATCTATACATGCTTATACCTCTGAGAAGGTGTGTGTGAATCGCGAATACCGTTATTCTAGCAAAATTAAATTCACGATTACGGCGTTCGTATATTATTGTATTGTGCATGTCGAAATAAACCGAATTATTAGTGCTTACATTGCAACAGCTCGATATGTTTTAGTGCATTGATCGGATATTCATTCCAGTCGTTTCGAGAAAACCGATTATCCAAGACGTCAAAATCAGTATTACTTATGCCGTAACAAATAATAATATGTTATCATCAGTCATCACAATTCGTTGTTTTAATACCGTGATAAACCAAAAATAGGAAATATATTATATAGTATGTATTAACTATTGTTTTAAGTTAAAATTAGTTTTGGAAAGCATTCTAGTTGGKAAAGTTCTTATTTGAACGAAAAAATACAATAATATTATAATATATACAATATCGTTTTTTTTTTATCGATCACTCTCTGGTCTGAATATAGTAAAAACAATTCGATGATTATAACTATATAATGWAGTGGCTAATATAATTACAATTTAAAAAAATTATTTAAAGGACATAGCCACCTAAAATAATTATTTCCTTGATATAGAATTTCTTATTTTAAATAAGAAATTATTTTCTTTTAAATTTGCTTTGAAATCTGTATTTTTCCTTGGTACCTACATGCGTTTACTAAATTAGAATTGTATATTTGTTTATTGTGTATTTTTATGGTATCCTATTATAATACCGAGAAAAAACATATTCGTGAAAAAGGTCAACAAAAGTTGGATTTAAATTTTCAAATGCGTTTCAAAATATTATTGTAATATTATATAAATTGTTATATATATTTTGTATAATTTTGGTAATATTAAATAATTTATCCTTACCTACAATCGTAATGCAGTGAATTTTGAATTAATTTCTATTCAGCTCAATGAGATTTTATAAATTAATCTATAGATAATTACATACAAAAACTCTAACAACATACAGTATACAATATACATGCAAATCAAACAGTGAAATTGGTCTTACTAAATTTCAACTCTTAAAGTTAATGGTATGGGTATATTTTTTAAATATAAAGAATATAAATACAATTATATATATTTTATACTGTCTTTTTTTCAAATTTTAGTTAAAAATCTGATAAATTAGCATACTCATTTTGAATAGTTCAGTTGATTTTTTTTTATAAACCATACTAATATATTAATTAGGTACTGCCCAAAAGTTATTTAACATAAATTTGTGAATGATCATTTTTTTTGTTGAAAGACTCCGCTCATATATAAGTTATTGTCAGATTTATTGGTTACATTAAAYCAAAGAAAACTTTTTTTCGCATTGCATTTTTTTACTTCATCCCATGAGACCAGGTTATATCGTCACATGCAAATTTATCTAGTGAAAAAAAAAGATATAACGTAAAAAAAGTTTTCCGAGAATCTGAGTCACGGTCGTGTGTCCCCATACGATAATACTGACTCACAAGCAGTTTGTTTAATCGGATAACGGGGGTCTCCTAATTTACATTCAACTTGCTCTCCCTCCGTGCTCGTGTTTTCATGTCACTATAAAGTATACATAGATTTATTCATATCGACGTACATAATATCTACAAACATTACAACGATTTAATTTTATTTAAATGCCGAGAATCGTTTGTTATTTCTATTGTGTCGCTAAATATTTTGATAAATCACTCAGAGTATGTGTTTTCATAGAGACGTTTTTAACGAATATAATAAATAGACTTTTATAAAAAACATTTCAATAGTCGTCAATGTACAAATATATAATTTCATGGTATAGGTTTTTTTAAAACATTTGAAACATTTTTCGAATACATAATATATATTGTTTTCAATATTACTCGACTATAATCTGCTATTATGTTATTATTAATATTAAAGTATTATTGAAATACAAATATAAGTTTTCTTGATATTATATCATTTATAATATGTTTTATACACCTACCAAATTAACATATAGGTTTGTTTTATGTACAGTAATATAGATTTGTAGAAAAAATTATTTGTCAATCACCAAAAAAGTAAATTTAGCTTTTTAGATTCAAAGTGGAGCGATAAATGTATTGATTTTACAATGAAGTGCGTGTGTTATCTTATTTATAAGCGTTTYAAAATAAAACTATTGATAAAAACGAAAAATAACTTTTTCGAGATAATAAACTAAATTTACTATCGATAAATTTATTAACTCATAAAATTTGGAAAACTCTTTACCTTAAATTTGTTTGTAGTAAAATATAAAAATAAAAATAATTTTAGTATGCCCAAACATCTTTTTTCTCGGACTAATACATAAAARTACAAAATAAATAATTATTGTTGCACGTTATTTATTTTATAAGAAATATAATTACATTTATAACTTATCACAAAGATACTAAATTTCCTTTTTCAACAACACAGTAATAGTATATTGTAGTAAACAGGGATGACGAGTACCTATTTCGTTATAGAATATATGTTTAAAAATTAAGAAAGTAAGTGTCCGTTTCACCGTATGGTGGATGTCATGTATGTCTCTTTATTGAATAATTCGCTATAATACTTTACCTATGTATTAAACAGATATATGTGTTATCCATTGTATGTATATATATATATATATATATATATTATATTACTATATAATATATATTCAATATTATTAACGCATCATTTATTTTCTAGGTTAGTACTCGTAGATAGAAAAGGAATATCGATGAATAAAATGTATTATACAATGCTTACTATTCAGACCAGTTGGGTTTTTTTTTCAATCGATCTACATACTATCACAAAATGTATATACAACCACGAAGTGATCAAACAGTCACATTAAATTATTGTCAATCGATATATAGCAAACAGGTCTATCATTCATACAAGTCGATGGACACGTTTTTATTTAAAATTTAGAAAGCAATATATTTTACTAACTTATGGAATACCAAGGTTTAATAATCTTAACTAATGAAATTATAATGGTGATTAATAGATATTATTTTCTAAATTCGAGTATTATGTATGTCAGAATTTTGTGATGATAGTATTTAAAAAAAATAATTTTAATAAAATATACGCTAATAGATTCTATACAATTACCATAATTGTATTAAAAGTATGTTTTTTAATATTAATTCATGGTAAATAATACATTATAGTATTATTGCATTACGTTTTATTATGCATACTTGTAGGTAGTACTTATTGTGTATTAAAAAGTTATAATGCTTTTAATTTAGAAAAGTCAATTCAGCAGTTATGTTTTCTTATTAAACAGGATTTTCAATTCAATTCTTAGTGTTAATTAAGTAAGTTAATAATAAAAGTTTTTAGTGAATAAAAATTGTAATTATTACAACTGAACGGCAATTTTTGAAAGCTAATATTTATATTTGTAAGCTATTTCTTTTTATAGTACTTTTAGTCATCTTAACTATGCCAAATATTTTTGATCATAAATTAAACCTAATTTTTTATCTGCTACATGCCTACATGTAACTAGCATAATATGATGATGATTTTTGTATTATACAATTTGAAAGATATTTTTTATTTTTATTAATCGGGCTATGAATAGAATCATTAAAGGTCAATTACTTTAAATATTTTGTTAGACGAAAAAAAATGTATAATATATTATTCTGTTGAGACAGTCATTGTTGATAGTTAAGGTCATATTATACATTTTTTGTTTAATTTAATTATATTTGGAGTCTATTTATTAATAATATTAATCATTATAATCGTATTACTTCATTAATTATTACAGTTTATTTAAGTTTCTTATGAATAAACTATATTGTTTTAAAAATGCTGTAAGTATAAAAATAAGATAACGTATGTGAATGTTTTTATTTTTAAAACATTAAAACTTGATTTCATAGAATACCTATTTAATAAGCTTGAACATTAAATTTACCAGTGTTAAAATGTAATTTCAACTTTTAATTATAATTTTGTAAATATGTTTAAATGTCTGATAATTAAAAAACTTAAATTAAAAAACTAAATATTTTAAACTGTAAASGTTTACTAATAAACTATTATCTAAAATATGTTTAATCCAACTTTCTATCGGTAGAAGATTACACAGTATACAGCATATTATCACAACTCAACATTTTTAATGCTAAAAAATGTATATAGATACAAAAAATAAAAACAAAGTAATACACTGCTAGAAAATAAATAGTTTCCACTTTTATCTCTTAATATACGATTCGGAGTTAGATATAATTTAGTTTTGTAAGTAGATATTCGTAATGTATGTGAGAAATATGATTTTGCCCAAAAATAAGTTAATTTAATATAACTTTATAAAAAAAAAAAAATGTTTGGTACATATTTTTCAAAAATTAACTTTTACTAAATATATTGTATTTTATTTTATTATTTAAGCATGTAAAAAAATTTAGGTCATGTTTACCTTTGCGATATACAGAGTATGTTTCATAAAATTCCTACCTACCTTTACATATTTTAATATTTTAAAATTTGTATTATAACATATTAGATTAATGGTGACTTACCTAACACAGTTAAGTATACTGGATGTCCTATGGGTGGAGTTGTACTTATCTGGCATTCATAAATACCAGAATCTTTTTTTTGCGGATATTTTATCCTTAACGACCAGTTTTCTGAATGTGGTTCATGAATGGCCTCGAACCGTTGATCACTTGTATATGTGTATCTTCCTGCAGTAAGGAGATGTATATCCCGATGTCGGATCCATGATACCTGAAACACGTTAAGCATTTCRAATTGATAACATTATAAATTATAATATAAATACATAATATTATTCGTAATCTACAAGATGTATTAATAATATAATAATATCAATATACATGATGATTAAAAATATCCATTGTTAATTTATTATAGCTCATTAAACACTATTAATTTAATATTTTTACTTAAATTATTAATATTTAACTATTTTAAAATATTAGAAAAGTATTCAATTTTTGAAACAAATACACCGGATTAACTATACAAGGAGAAAAAATGAAGACCTGAAAAACATATCGATTGGCACATTAACCAGAAGACATATCCAAATCTTCTATATAGATAGTAGATACTGGGATATTAAATGAATGGAGGTATCTAGTTGATTATTTGATGCAACATCCAAACATATCTGGATGTGTTTTGTTCCTCCTGAAAAATTTAGTTTATTGGAGATGTCTCGTTGTTGTCCCCCAGGTCCTCAAATAAAATATACATCTATGTACGTATGTAAATGTAGGTATTAATAAAATGAACTAGAAGACACTTTTTCACTATTTTGTAACTTTAAAGAAATGGAAATAAGTGTATACAAAACTATTTGTCATTTTATTAGATAAAACAAATAGACAGTGTTCGGAACGTTCACTAAAAAAATGAATTCGTTCACGTTCAGTCCTTGAAAAAGGAACTCGTTCACGTCCACGTTCTTTGAAAAAATGAACGCATTCATATGGTCGTTCATCTAATTTTTTGTTTATAAATAGTTTACCAGCAGTTTGTATAAAAACCCATAAACATATAGGTCTCAACCCAAAAATAAAAACAATTTAGACTTTAGAGCATATACATTTTCTAAAGTATCTAAATTATATACATATTATATTTATTAAATAGTAAATAAATTGAGCGTCTTCAAAATCGTTCAAATTCATTAAAAATATAAACGCCGTTCACGTTCACGTTCTATTTTAAAAAAAAAATGATCGACGTTCACGTATCGTTCACTAATTATGAACGTGAATGTGTGAACATGCGTTCATGAACGACGTTCTTTCTAAACACTGCAAATAGATATTTTCTTATATATATATATAAAAAGAAACAGTGATATTAAAATATTATCTTTATAGCTTCGGAAAATACTAAACTTGATACACACAAATAAAGCTCTTATGTATATTTTAATATTTCTAGTTGATACAACCGATTTGGAAATATTTTTAGGCAGAACAGGTGTGAAATGAAACAAAGCCTTTAAAGTTATTTCAAATTAAAGAACAACTACAGATGTTCCAATGTCCTCGTGTATGTTTAATGTTTTTGAGTTGTTGAGAATAAAAAAAAAGAATAGAGGTAAATTTAAAATCCTCAGGAAAAGTTGAAAACACAAGTATTTTCAAAAAAAAAAATCTATAAAAACTTTTCCATTTCGGTCACTTGAATATTAAAAAAAAACATTTAGTTTCAAAGGTTATTCTTTATTTTTAATCTTAATAATTTCACTATAATATATAAATTTGATGTCAAAGTTGGTTATTTTCTAAAGRTATCATTAAGTGATAATTTATTTATTGAAATAATTATATTTTACAGAATTTAAATTTTAAATTAAAAAATTTAATGCAAATTGTGAAAAAATGTAATAATAAAATATTATATTTAGAAAATGGGTTCAATCCGTCGATCTTTGGTTAAACTATTATAAAGTATTTTGTCATAAAATTAAATATTTTTTTTTTTTTATTGATTATAGCTTCGGCAACATAGGTCATTGGCTTTAGAAGTTGTGGCTTTACAATTATATATATATATATATATATTTACAATTTTTTTTTACAATATTAGTGGTCTAATTTTATTGTATATTCATATGCTTTTTTCTAGTTTTAATGTCTTGAGTAAAGATATGATGATTTCTGGCTGGCAGTCAGTTTTAATTAATAAACATTTTAGTTTTTAATGAAAGACAATACAATTTTAATTTTTTTTTTTTTATAGACAAAAATTTACGATTTACTATAATATTGTATAACTGAATTGTAAACGATATTTTTAATATTCTAAAATCGTATTTGTCATTAATAATAAGGTAAAAAAAAAAAGTCGTAACTGTACACACGTGATTAAATCACCAAGAATATTACTAGAGGTGCAACACCCAAAATGCCCACTGGCAGGCAGAACGTGGCTAAAATTATGCGCGAATTTAAAAAAATATTTTGGTGACGTAAAAGACAACTTTAGAGATTGGGTTTGGTGGTATAAATACAATATAATTACGTCCTAAGTAATGTCATTGAAAAAATTTTGAAAATTAAAATATTTTGCTTAAGGTAGGATCGGGGACATATATGTATAAGGACAAATGTTTCAGGAAACTAAGAAAACGTTGGAGTTGTAGAACCAGTCATATAAATGGAAGTTAATATTATAAGTTGCAAAATATTCTAATTGGAAAAATACCAATAAATTTAATTTGTGATATAAGTAAATCTGGACACACGTCATGATGCCAAATGCGTAGAAGTTGTGACATGTTTTATGCTGTCTATTATGTGCTAAATAAATAACATTTGCATAAAAATATTATACATTTTTCACTGGAGTTGGGCAGGAACATTCAGGATATACAAATAATCTGAGCCATTATTTTTAATTATTTTTTTTTTTTTTTTTAAGTCACATGTTGATATTAAAATAATAATAACCTATAAAAAAATATAAAATCTTAAAATCAATTCATTTTGGAAAAATTAATTTGGTCAGCATGTCAAAGTTTTATGAATTTTAAAACAGCTATATTATATGTGATTCAAATATTATGTAAAAAAAAAAATTAAAATCATGATTTATACTTTTTACTTTAAAAAAGGTAAAAGCCGAATTTACGTTATTAGTCGTATACACAAGCAAACAATCATATATGTCAAGCCCAATATTATTATACTTGTCTGCCCTTATTGCCATCTTAAGCACTCAACTGATAGACTGATGCAAGAAATATAATCGATACAATCCATTAAGCTGTGTAATCAACACACACGCAGGCACGCGCACACACATACACACACAAACACTTACCACAAGGGGTATAAGCTGCACCACCATTTATAGACAAACTTATTCGTGGACAATTCAAAGGTCAACAACTAAAAATAAATGTGTTAAGAGAGTTTTTCGGAAAATATAAAGCATTATAGTAAGAAGCATTAAAAGGGCATTTTTTTTTTTTTTTAATAGATTTCCGAAATTATTATATTGTAGTAATAATGATTCACTCACAAAATGAATCACCATATCACCATAGTGTATAATATTAATTATTAACTCACACAAAACTAAATTTTGGTTCAAAGACATGTTTAAAATTATTTTAGTTAAAACCCAGAATCCATATTGTTAGTAGTAATTTATTTTTATATTTTAAATTTTATTTTATAAAACTATGTTATGTATAATGAAGTATAATATTATGTATTTTAGCAGGTACCTACTCGTACATAGTTTGAACGTACAATTATACAAAATTGTATTATCCGTATAATATTCGATACTTTTTTTTACTTCAAAATTTTAAATCTATTTTCTTACAAATGTAATCTCTATTTTTGTATATTTTAAAAGAAAGTTTGTTAAATAAAATAGATTGTATTAATAGTATTGTTCAATAATATAATGAATGTTGTATATTCATAATATTTATATCATAATATTAATGTAATTGAACAAAAACTATTTAAAAAAAATAAAATAAAAATATAATAATAATAATATTTGTTACTTAATAGTTTACACAAGGACATTAAATATTTTGTTGAATCAAATTTGTAGGTAAGTTATGGTTATTTTTCTAACGCAGTTTCACTATGCGTAAAATATGGGTTAAATATAGGTTAGGTAAATATAAGGAAATAGATACAATTTCAAGTTTGATTTAATAATAAAATACAAAATATTCTTTGTGTAATAGTTAATGTTTATTTTTGAAATAGATTACGCTCATGAGTCAGTAGTCACAACATATTATATTAAGCTTAAAACTATTTTAGGTTAGATATATTTTTATTTTTTTTTTCATTTTAATGGRAATGAAGTAGCTATAAGTGTTGGTAATTACTAATTACAATTGTTTTTAAAAATGTTTCAAGAAAATAATAAACAATTAAATATTTATGCAATATTTTAACTTATTGTTTAAATAACTTCAGGTTTTGAAACTAAATCATCTTAATGAACCGAGCAATAGTAACAAAAGCACTTAAAAACTTTTAGTCCCTTTCTAGTGAAATTTGTGTATGGGTATACCCACTTAAACACTTGATTACTGATATACCTGAAATTTTAGTTACCTAATAATAGAACACACCGATTGTGAAGCCGTTGTAATATATTTAAACAACTGGTTTAAATTTATAAAAAACTAAAACAGCCCTTAGCACCACTATCAAATATGATATTCTAAACATATCATAATAGTAATGATGCATTTTATTCATCATAAACTCATAATAACTCATAATAATTCTTCGTAATAGATATTAATAAGAAATTCAGGTATTCATAAATATACCCATCTACTACCGATTTTTCTGATAGAATAGTATCGAAATGGTTGCTGAACAACTGGAACACACCGACCACAAATTTTCATAGATAATTTATCAAATACTATATTATGGAAAGTTACAATTAATTTGTTATCTTAATAATTTATATATATAGMCAAGAAATAATAATACAGCATAATATGAGAACTGCAACACGTYAATTCAATAAAATCTTCCAATGATTGCATTTGCGTCGTAGTTGAATACATATATATATTTTTTAAATCGTTTTTTATTTTATTTATTTTTTGTTAACATGTATTTTTATAAGATTAAAGATTAATATTAAATCTTTTTGAATTACTGCAAATTTGWACATAACGAATGGCTTTGGTGCGCATAGCTGGTTTGTCGTCGGTCAATTACCATAAATTACTATTTCATAATATTTTYATA